AACATGCCAACATCCAACCAGTTCTTGTATCACAAAGCAGCTGCCGAATTATGAATCAGCCTAATGTAATGTGTGAAATGGATAACTTAACAACACAGGGGATGAAAAGCTCAGTAACCAGTTAATCTTCACAGTCCACAAAAGATGTCACACAATGACTGAAAGATGAACAGCAAATTTGGAGTGATACTTTCTCAATTTTTTCTTGACATGTTTCCACATTAATAATTCCATCATTTGAAATAGTTACAAATAAAAACAGATGAGAAACACAAACTTGCCTACCTGCTGTTATTTCCCTCTGTTACAGTATACAGATCTTCTATTTCACATATAGCAACGTTGTTTATCACATTAAATAATAAATAATTATTGTCACAAGTAATCAAATTTAATCCACAGCTACCTGTGATTAATCATGTTAAATATTCAATTCATTCTTAAACTTCTGTTTTGTTTGCATGCACAAGAAGATTAAAACTGACAAAAACATGTAAAGGTATAAAGAAAGGTTAAGCAGACTATCTTTTGTATTCCATGTATAATCATTTGTGTCCTTTCCATTAAGCTATGGTCTACAGGGACTGAACTGTAAGATAATGCCCAAAGGCTCCAAAACATTCTAATCAAACCAGGTCACTGTTTTCAAATTTCTTTGTAAGACATATGTCAACAAAGAATCTTAAATGACTTCACATATATTTTCTTGTCAAAGTCCCTCTAGTTTTTTTTTTTTTTACCTGAATAAAAAGTGCTGTATGTTAATATTACGTTAGAGGACTGTGTCTTTATTGTCTTATCTACTTCTTTCACTCAACCACTCAGCAACATAATAGAAGTGAATGTACATCTTCTCACCTTCATCTGCAGCCGTCATGTCCTTTTCCAGCTTCAGCTTCTTCTGTCCCAGCTGCAGTATGCCATCCTCAATGCTGTCCTTACTGATCAATCTGATGACCTTGACAGTTCTAACAGATTACAAACACATAATTATTTAACCATGTTTTTTTCTCATCATAATTTTAGATGAATATGAAAAAAAAATGTAATCAATATGTAGTCAAATTTCCATCCAACCTGGATTGGCCAACACGGTGACACCTGTCCTCAGCCTGTTTGTCATTATAGGGATTGCAGTCAATGTCATGTAGAATGACAACATTAGCTGAGGTGAGGTTGATGCCCAGGCCTCCAGCCCGTGTAGACAACAGGAACACAAATATGTCAGGGGCTGTGTTGAATTCGTCTATCAACACAATCCTAAAAATAAATGTATTCATACTTTTAAAAACAATGTTATTTACAGTTAAAAGTTAATTGGTCCAGTTAAAAGTGGTTTAAATGCTCTCAACTGACCTGACAAAATCATTGTCTCTCTTATAACGTGCATGATGTATAAGAGTCAGTGGTTTTGTCAGGTCAGTTGATAGCATTAAATCCACTTTTAACTAGAACAGACCTGGGCAAACCACAGCCCGTGGGGCAGATACTTTCTAATCTGGCCAGCCAGACACTGGTACAGCATATGGTAAAGACTGATTTAATTCCTCCTGTTGTATGCCTTGCAATGAATTGATTGTAATTTCAGTTACTGCCACTAGATGGGGCAGACACAAAATGTGCTAAATTTCCTTTGAAGGTTTAAGGTCTAACCTTGTACATTACATTTATATTATTTCACCCAAACATTCTGCATCCAACCAATACTGATCCGGCCGTCTGGTCAAATTTTTAACTTCATTTTGGTCTGTGAGCTAGAAAGTTTAATTAAACCTAACTCTGACCTGTCAGCTATGGGTGTGGATCCATCCAACCTGACGTAACGATGCTTGAGATGTTTCAGCAGCACTTCCACAATGTCCAGCATCATGGTGAACTGACTGAAGAGTACCACTCTGTCTCCCTGTAGGGTTAAAGTAAGGTTATGCTGCATGTCCTTCTTCATATGTGCAGTGTATTCTTCTGCCTGCACGGTTTGTATGTACCTTATCTTTGTGCGAGGCCAGCAGCTCTGTGAGGTAATGGAATTTCCCAGAGTCCAGCAGGATGTCCTTTTCCAGTTGGTAAGAGCTGATGGAGGTGTACTGCTTACACAGGCCATGCAGCTCAAAGTCTGACATAATTTCCATGTCCTCCTGGATCAGAGCAGCATCTGCATCATAGTGACTTGGATCCTGAGGGGGTATAGTAACCCTATAACTAATGGGATTGGTTTGGACAAAATCCTCGGATAAAACAACATAATTTAATTCTAGTCTTTTATTTCTGGAATCAATCAATGGTTGGAGAGCAGGACTGACCTTCAGCATAAGTTTGCTCATGGCTTTTAGCTTCTTTGTAGTGTAGTACTGTCTGTGTAGTAGTGGATGATTGGCCATCTTTCTAAGCTGCATCATCACGTTGCACAACTCACGGTCTGTGTTTGAAAAAAATGATTAAACACATTTACACATGTGACGCACAGAGAATGTGATACATGAGAGGAAGTTGTCATCTAAATCAGACTCTCACTTTTGCCAGTTGTGGACAACTTGAGTTTCTTTAAGAGCTTATCGTACAGCACCTTCTGTTTCTCACTCATCAAACAGTACTCCACTTTCTCTTCTTTAGCTGGCAGCTGCTTTAGGACCTGGAATAAAGGAAACACCATCAGTTTTTGAGAAACAGAAGTTAGTTCATGAGTAAATACTTCAAACTGTTGTTGACTAGGTGGCATAAACTATGGGAAAAAACTACGCAACCTTTTGGAGAAAATATGCAAGGTAAATATTCACTTAATATTATACATTATATGTATAGCAAATATTTATTTAGTATATTTTAATAGGCAGCTTCACATCAGAACAAATAACATTCACAAACAAAATCCTGATCAACTCACCTCACTCTTGACTCTTCTGAGAATAAAGGGTTTCATGATAAGTTTGGCCTGAGATATTCGATCTCTCTCAAAACGGCTCTCCACCTGAGATTTCTGACACACAACACAAAATAATTCTTGAACGTTCTTAAATAGAATATAGAATAGAAATACCAGATTATTTGCCCTGCAACAAATAGTATTCTCAATTGATTTACAAAATAAATAGGAAACAAGACAACAACAAAAACAAAAGGGAAGTTTAAGATATTTTAATGTATCAGGAATGTTTTGACAGTTTTAAAAAGCAACAAAAATACTAGTGTAATTTATCATATATTTAAAGAGGAAACATGCTTGTGGTTTCAGTTACTAGTCTGCCTTAAATGCTAGTTACCCAGGAATATGTGAGATTCATGCACTCACTTACCATAGAAAACATTTTTGTGAGCTGTGTAGTGGAGCTGGAGAACATTGAGGGCATGATGAAGTTCAAGAGAGAAATCAGCTCTAAGAGGTTGTTCTGTAATGGAGTTCCTGTTAGCAGCAATCGATGCTCTGCCTAAAAGACAGTCCGGGGAAAAAAAGATTTGAAACTCCAGATGTAAAGCATAGCTAGGCAGGTATGCGAAAATAATAATAAAAACAAAAACAAAAACAAACCCCCCCCCCCACGGGCACTAACATTTATGGACATTAGGTGGCGGTAGCGTAGGGTACTCATGTTTTTCAGCATGTGACCCTCATCAAACACAGCATACTTCAGTTTCAGCTTTCTGAAAAGGCTGCGATCGTTGTCGTTTCCTATAGCTAAGTTATACCTGGAAAAACAAAGTAAAAAGGCTTAGTCTTCTAAACCAACTTCACAGGCAAAGAATATGAATCGCCTGCACTGATGCTCACGTGGTGACTATGACATTGAAGTGGGTCTTTCCACTGAGGATATCGTGCCTGAGGTAGCGGCGGTCTTCTACTGATCCTGTAAAGAAGATGAGGAAATTAATTCTGCCTGATCCTTCCTTTTTCCCCAAATTGCTAGATTTTTTTTTAGAATACAAACACATTCAGCTTAAAATGAGAGAGCACAACATTGACTTACCATAGTATACTAAAACACTAAGGCTTGGACACCACAACTTCAGTTCTCTGACCCAATTATCTTTTAAAAGAGAAAAGAAAATCAGACTCAGAAATTGCTTATTTATCATCACACATTACTGCAGGAAATAGTTTTAATTTAGAAACAATAGTGATTATGAGAATGAGACTTTCTTGTTTACTACATTTAGGACAATAATAAAATAGTTCCCCTCCTTGAACCGCAGCCTTAACGTGGTGGAGGGGTTCAAGTATCCGAACGAACCTAGGAGCTATGTTGTCGGGGGCTTAATGCCTCTGGTAGGGTCTCCCAAGGCAAACAGGTCCTAGGCGACGGATCAGACAAATAGCGGTTCAAAACAACACAACATCAAAGAGGTTTACGTCGCCCGGATTGACGTCACCGGGGCCCCACCCTGGAGCCAGGCCCGGGGTTGGGGATCGCAGGCGAGCACCTGGTGGCCAGGTCCTTCCTCACGGGACCCGGCCGGGCTCAGCCCAAACAAGCGACTTCAGCCTGCTTTCCAAAGGGGCCACCACCCGCAGGAAGGCACACAAGGGGGCCGGTGCCTTGTGATTTGGGTGGCAGTTGTGCGACAACCATTCTGGCTATGGGGACATGGAATGTCACCTCACTGGGGGGAAAAGAGCCTGAGTTCATGCGGGAGATTGAGTGATACCGACCAGATATAGTCAGGCTCACCTCCACGCACAGCCTGGGCTCTGGGACCCAACTCCTTGAGAGAGGCTGGACTCTCTTCTACTCTGGAGTTGCTCACGGTAAGAGGCGGTGTGCTGGCGTAGCCTTACTTATACCTCCCCAGCTTGCCAGTCGTGTGTTGGAGTTTTCTCCACTGAGCGAGAGGGTCACTTCCCTGTGCCTTCGAGTCAGGGATATGTGTATCACTGTTGTTTCAGCCTACGGGCCGAATAGCAGTATAGAATACCCGTCCTGTTGGGGGACTTCAACGCCCACGTGGGCAGCGACAGTGACACCTGGAGGGGCGTGATTGGGAAGAACGGCCTCCCCGATCTAAATCCAAGTGGTGTTTTGTTATTGGACTTCTGTGCTAGTCACAGTTTGGTCCATAACAAACACCATGTTCAAACATAAGGGTGTCCATCAGTGCACTTGGCACCAGGACACCCTAGGCCGGAGATCAATGACTTTGTAGTTTTGTCATCTGACATCCGGCCATATGTATTGGACACTAGGGTGAAGAGAGGGGCTGAGCT